TAAATTCAGTACAGATAGGAAATCGATAAAAATCGATGAAAATCGATAATCACAGCAAAGCTTAATATCGATTTTTATCGATTTCCGATAATGATCKATCRATTAGTTACGGTTTGTATCGATTAGTATCGATTTTATCGATTAATAGATTTCATCGATTAGTTACGCCGGGGATTAAGAGATCCATTTGCTCAATTTGTTTAATGAAAATTTTTGTTATTTTGATTTTGTACAATTTTATTAATTGTATTCTAACAAGCTTTACAGCCGCTCAACTGCGTGCTACGTAGGCTCTCCCATATTTACACGTGCAACTAGCTAATGCGAATGTTATGTAATATATCCTATCACCCGGGAARATAGGTACACCGATAGCCTCGCCTTGACCTAGCAGTCAAAGTTTTTGTAACCTTTAAAAAAGGTAAGAAATAGTTGAAGTAAAACAGGAAAACAGTTCTTAACTTGAGCAAATAAGTCTCACTTACCTTTCTTGAGAGTTGTTTCGACAAGACGTTTGGTAAACAGGCTTGTGAGCCAGCGAGACGAGAACGCGAGCAGTCGATGATCTCAAAACCTGTCGACCTGCAAAGCAACCATTTTCAATCAAAATGCGTCATTAAAACTACCATATTTATATAGCTTTATGTACCTTGTTGCAGCAGGAGAAGTACCATAATAAGCAATCAAAATAATGCAGAAATAAATAAAAGACAAATGTTTCTGTAGAGATGGACTGTTCCTTCCTGAGTGGCCAGGCAAAAGACAGGAAGCCCAAGCCGATGGGATGCATCTAACCAAAACATTAAATAACATAAAACGAAGACAATAAACACCAAATCCTAACACTAAACCTAACCCAAAAATAAACACATAAACATAGAGCTAAAAGTATTAACTAGTTCAATATAACGCAATAAAATGTAAAATATCTGCAAATGGAAACCCCACTGTCACGWTACTCTAACTTATTAAGTTGAAATGTTTCAAAGAAGCACATGAGCAAATGGGAAAAGTAATCAAAAAGAAGTTACCACTGGAAGACACTTGAAACCACTGCATGTTGCAAATTGCACGTTTTTTACTGTTGTACTGTATTYCGTTGTACTAAAAATATCCTTAGRGCATTTTAACAAAATAAAACCAATCTTTTTTCATTTCTCTTAAGGAATCTGATTTACCAGTTATAGGTGGGCACCAATGTTTATGTTTTAGCTAATTATTTGCATAAAAGTCAGAAATAGAATTTCAAGCCACAAGTAAATTGAGCCAATAAATGAAAAGAGCTCATACCTGTTAGCAATTCCTGAAAATTTGAAGGCAAATCAGTTAAATATTTAAAGAGATATCAAGCTCCAAATTTGCAAGATTTTCTAAAGAAATGACTGTGGTTGGCATTATGTTGCAAACCACGAATGTTTTCTATAGATTTTGTAGTTTTCAAATGCCGATATCTCAAAAAGTAAAAAGGCATTCGCCCTTAAGGTTTTGTTAAGATTAATATAATCTTGAATTATTAGATTATTAGATTATTAGATTATTAGATTATTAGATTATTAGATTTATGAATTTCATATTTTGGATGTAAACAAACTATGTTATCGTACATATCACATTCCTAAAGATCAAAAATGAGTGGTTTCATTAAGGTCCTTGATCAATTTTAAGGGATCTATTGTCATTAAAGCAAAATTGGAGTTAACATTAGACTTGCAAAAAAAAAATTGCAATTACTCATCTAATTACTAATTACTCAAGCTCCCATTGAAGCAATGATTGTACCAGATAATCAAATGTTTTTAATTTTCTCTTACAAAACATACATAATTGATGATACCTATGCAACTACATCTCATTCATGTGGCACCATAGAGGCTACTTGAAAAAATAAGGCTTTCATTTTATAGTTTTCTTTGATATTCAGGTAGGCAAGGACTATCAAACAACTGTCTAGTTTTTCCTGCATATTTTGGTTTTTATGATTTGCCAGCTATGTTTAGGTAACAACTATCAATAACTATAAATTCACTGCAAAATTCCCCCTAAAACTAAAACAAGTAACTGATAAAATGGTTCAAAGGAGAAGCTAAGACCAAAAGCATGATCTTAGCTTATATATAGAGCCCTTCTTATTTTCCTTCTGATAATAAACATAGGAGTAAGCAATAAGATAGTGTTTCTGCTTTGCTTTCTAAACTAAACGACAGATTAAAGTCCACTCATGTTCAGTCCCTCTCCAGTTCCCACTTTGTTCATAGACTCACTCCARGCCTTATTAATGGTCTTTTTCATGTCATCATCACCTTCGTCATACATCTTCTTCATCATATCCATGATAGCTTTCTGTGGATCTTTGTCAGGATCATCAGCACCACTTTTCAGAGGTGAAGTATCCTTTGCTTTCACAACCACATCTTCCCAAGTCTGCTTAATCTTTTCTTTCTTCATCATTACAACCAAATTCCCAGTTTTGACCTTTGTATAACTTTCTCCCACAACTATGTTATGGCAAAGTTTCATTATTTTTAGTTGGTGGTTTTTCCCATCCAGTTCATGAGCAACAACTTCGACTGAATTTTTGGTGAACTTTGAAGTAATCTTCTCTTTTGGTAAGGACTCTACTCCGGGAAGAGTGATATATATTTTAACAAACTTGTCAGATTGATCCCAGCCATACGAACTTATACTTTTTGTATAGAGTGGAACTTTGGTTACTTTCGCTTCTGCTGCAGGTTGCTTAGCCTCTTCTTCTTTTCCTTCTGGATGGGTAGCGTTTTGGTGGATTTGAAGAGAAATCTCCTGTTCTACTGTCAGAAGCTCCCTTTGGAGAACTTCTTTCACACGTGGTCTTTGAGATGTCGAAATAAACTGTCGAATTTCCTCTGCATCTTTCTGTAGATCGTCCAGACTCGCCATAACCTAGAAAATAACATTTTTAAAATATAACCTTTACTAAAGCATTTGGATTATGTTTTCCAATAGTCAAAAACTTACAATTTTTGTGTCAGGCCAACTCTCACACTACTTGACTTGTTCCTGAAGAAATGGATGATTTCCGATATTTCCCGGAAACATGCCGAAAAGATTCCGACGGCCGACGGTCGTCCACTGCACTCTGCAATGAAACGGTCCACTGAAACTGACAAGTTATTAGTTCAGGGTAAACTATAATAACTTCATCATAGTCATATTTTCAGATTATGGACTTAAAATAGTTAGAGTATGGAGTTYGCTTACATTGTAAAAGCAAGCCTGCATTTTTTGTCGCTTTTCTTTTGAGATCGGAATAAATTCGTAGGTTTGTCGATCAGTATTCGTATTTGTCAACGTGTCAGCGGTGCACTATCATTGACAAAGCGTGACACCACCAGGATAGATAGGATCGAACTTTATTATTTGTTTGTTGTTTGAGATATTGCCTTTTTTTTACTTTTACATATTATCATGAAAAAATGGGTAGCTTTGCTTGGAGGCGCAATGTTTTGCGTCTTGGTATTTTCRATGTACATGGTCGTGGATCAGCTAGGGAAAACGCCAAATTATAACGAAGCCTTTGCAGTGCAGGTAAATTCTCAGCATAATCACTTGTACATCGGGTAAACTTTTTTATTGTTTATCAATAAGAATACAGTACGATATATCATACTTTCTTCAAAGATAATTAGGTCATCAGCTTCCTATTTAATTAACTTATCTGGCTTTTTGAACAATAACAGCACAAGTTTTTCATAACAACGGAAGTCATTCTCCCTGCATGTGCCTAAAAATAGAAAGTCAATGAAGACTATTATATTATCAGAGTAGACACAATATATTCAGGAATGTTTCTCCTAAGTGAGGCTCTATTGCATTCTTGTTCAAGAACAATGTTAAAAATAAGAATATGATCAATTTTCATTSAGTATTTTTGTTATTAAAATCTATGCTTGTATGTGGCTGATTCCAAGAGAAAACAGGTTTTGATACAACAATGTAAAACTCTTAAGAATATCTATACTGCTATGATGAGGAAGAGACCAGCTTTTATTTACAGCTCTGATAATTTTTAGTAGTTTAATTCAATGTTTGAGAAGCAATTCATCACCTGTATGTAATTAATTCCTTTCATGATTTGCTTAACTTCTAATGAAATATGCATTATGGTTAACGTTTGGCAAATGTTGAAATCGTGATAAAATGTCTTGAAATTTGTCGCACTTGGACCTTAAAGGAGTTTGTATACTTCATATTGTAGGACGTCAAAATAATCTCAACTCTTACCCCTCCTTTGACACACAGAAAACACAATGTTTGAGGAAAACTAGTTTCATCTATTCGACCTTATCAATTCCTCTACAACTGTTATAAAATGATTTCTCAATAAATGTTGCAAGGGTGTTATGAAAGATATGATGCATATAATTTGCTTAAATACAGAGGATATTGCTTAGGGTGAAGAGATATGAAACATATAATATCGTCAAGTGCTGAAAAGATTTTCAACATGTGAAGAAAAAATCTATATCCCCAAGCAAACATAAGATTTTAATCTTAAACAGAATATTAAATATTAAAATATTCTGTTTATCATATAATTATTGGTGAAAGCAGATTATGTTTTAAAAGTGACTTTTATTTACTTCTAATATGTAGAGATACTATAAATGTGTTATTTTCACAACTAGTGAAAATCAAGAGTGAGAATTATTGGTATTTCAAAACTATTATGATTAAAATAATGTGYTGTTACAGTCTAGATACAGATATAGAAAATGATGTGTAAGATAAGTTTGATAAAATTGATACACTGCATTAAAAGTGAAAATGATGCCTTTGGATGCTGGACCACAAAGAAATACTCCTTTTAATATTAAATTTCAGGTGAATGACAAAATTAAAGTTCCCATTGAAAATCTTGAACATGACATAAATGTATTAGAGGGCAATTTACGGATGTCTGGCAAAGTCATAGGCCGTTTGCGKGATTCTGTTAACCGAATACAAGGAGGCTCTCCATTGAATAAGTCTGAAGTGAATGATATCCCAGAACTGCTAAACAACAAGGAGAAAACAAAAACTTATAAACTGCCTGAATTACAGGAACATGATTATAGAACTACAAAGAAGGYTGATCAGGCTGCAATTGCAAAGCCAACTTCTGATGATGGATGTGTTTTCTCAAGAGTCAAATCATGGAAATCAACAGATGTGAAGGTACTGTATGTTATACTAGTACACTATGTGATCCCTTTTTATGTTGCTCTAGTCAGTCCAAAATAGTGCTTTTTGACAGGAAATTCATGGGAATAAAGATTATATTTATMAATAGATACTGATCAATGTATTTTCTGTATTTTCAGCAACTGGTTGTTTGAAATGTACAATTTCAAGTAAAGAGTTGTAGTTATTTTTATTATTGTGCTAGAAACACCTCTGAGGTTGTTGGGAGAGCACTCAAAAGATTTTAAATTGCTTTCTTTCAGCTTATATCTCAAAACCTCATGTTCTCATAACAATCTCAAATGTTTCTAACTCAGAATGGAACACATGAATCTTTTAATGCTTAATTTGTTATAATGTAATAGCAATAACAAAGTTTRTAAATAATGTTACTCTACTTTTAAGATGCTAGACGCAATGGATGCAATTCCTTTTGATAACCCTGATGGTGGTGCTTGGAAACAAGGCTGGGATGTTACTTATGATGATAGCAGTTTTAGTGAAAAGCCTTTGCAAGTTTTTGTGGTTCCACATTCTCATAATGACCCAGGTAATCAATTTTATAAAGGTTGTCAGAGACAATGGCAACGAAACTGTCAAAGGCAGATTTAGCAATTAATAAAGGGATCTGCATTTTATGGTTGCATTTTTGCAATACAACTTTAACGGTTTGCAATTTATTATATATACATGTATCACTTTGAAACAAATACTGTATCATGCAGACTCRATTTGTGCTAAGGTCTCAATATTATTTGCTACTTGAACTAATTTATTCTCTATAATAATCATTATAATTAAAATCACTTTGAAATAGAAAATTCATGTCCAGCAAGACTCCTCTTTTTTTTATTAAAGTTATTAAACTTTTGGCCACCAATATAATTAGTATTGATATTAGAACTGTCTTGCTTTTTTTAATTCCAGGGTGGATTAAAACACTTGATCAGTACTACAGAGATCAAACACGTCATATCTTAGACAATGTTGTTGATGCACTGGCTGCAGACAGTAGGAGACGATTCATCTGGGCAGAGATATCCTACTTTTCTATGTGGTGGAATGATGCAGATTCTACAAGAAAGGCTAATGTTTTGAAGTAATTATTGACAATCGCGAATGATTGTAGGGTTATAGTATTATTTTTGTATATTAACTTTTGTTTTTTAGGCAATTGAAAAGTGGTCAATTGGAGATAGTTACTGGTGGATGGGTAATGAATGATGAGGCAAATCCACATTTTTATGCGATGTTAGATCAGATGATTGAAGGACATCAGTGGATCGCTGCCAACCTTGGTGAAGGTAGGAAACATTTATTTTCTCTTCTTATTGGGTCAGTTATCTATCTAGAGATCAATGGAGTGCTATAACTTTTATTGTGATAGAATAGGCAAACTAATAGTTATATGTAGTAGTTCCATAGTCATCAAACTCATTGTTTTCATTTGTGCAAAATTAACTAGTGCAAAATACAATACAAAATACAGCCATATATTGGCTCTAAATTGTAATTTCCATRCAACATGGCTGCTCATGTTGTAAACTATGCTTTGTATTATTCCTAGATATAAAACCAGTGTCAGGATGGGCCATAGATCCTTTTGGTCACACCTCTACTATGCCATATCTTCTCAAGAGAATGGGATTCACTAGTATGCTTATCCAGAGAGTCCACTATCAAGTCAAGAAATATTTAGCAAAAAGAAGAGACTTGGAGTTTATGTGGAGGCAAACTTGGGGTAAGTTATGATCTTGTTGTGCCTTGGGTACAGAATAATGATTGGTATACAACTAAGAACGATAAGTGTTGTRAATTAATTAAAATAAGTGTTTCTATCATTGATGTTTTTAGATCATGGTTCTACAACTGACATCTATTGCCATATGATGCCCTTCTATTCTTATGATGTGCCACACACCTGTGGGCCTGACCCTAAGGTACAATCCTTACAGTCTTATTAAACTATCAATATCAACACCAGTATTACTAGTCTAGAAGGGATGTCCTTTTTACTAAATAATAATAATAATAATTTGTGCTTACTTAAATTGAGTGAGGGTATTCTGGCATGTATTTTATAAAAGATAAAAATGATTTCTGATCACTGATTTTCATTGGCAATGTGCAGCAATCCCATTTTCTAGGACTAGCATTTAAGTGAATAGAAGTCTCTTGCTTTCTTTGATATAATATGTATAGTTCAAAACATGATCTTTAAGTGTTTTAAATGTCTTTTAAAACTTTAACATATATTTTATACTCAAATCCGTTAACATTTTTGGAGACATTGCTGTAAAATTAACTTTTTAGATGAATGGGGCAAACTGATCATGCGCGAATCACTTGCTCAAAGCACTCTTATCATCCCACATTGAATACGCATAAAGTAAAATAAAAGGACTGGTGGCTGTTTTACTGCAAGCGGTTGACAGAAACGGTTGACATCCTGCATTGGTCAATAATCGGGTATCAAATCTCAGACCTTTGCTAGGGTCATGGACCTTCATACATGTATCTGATAAAGATTACCTTTGATAGTATTCTTTAATATATACATGTAAACAATACTAATAAGGACTGTTTTATCAGATTTAAAGGTCCATGCATGTGACCAAATAGGCTCATTCTATTGGCCTACAGTAATAACTCATTAATTATGTCATGAGTCAGTTTAAATAAGACCTGAAATCTGTTTTGTTATTGACTGTTAAATTGTCAATTTACTRTCTAGATTTGTTGTCAGTTTGACTTCCGTCGTCTACCTGGTGGTGGCATTAGTTGCCCATGGAGGGTTCCTCCTGTTGAGATCTCAGACTTCAACATTGATAGCAGGTACTTTAGATATAAGAACAGTGTAATGTTTAGCTTATTTTTGCACTTGTGAGTAGTGTACACAATCATATAA